GAGGCTGAAAAGTAGACGTCTCATTGGAGGCCGCAAGCCTGATTGTTCTATCGCGAGGCTTTACTGGTGGCTTAGCAAGCTATTTGGTGTGCATGGTTTAGCGATTGGACATGAAGGACGGCCGCAGAATCAGTGTAAGCCATTTTCTTGGCCTAGCCCCGCGACAACTTCATCAATATCAACAAACTCGTTCTCAAGCTATCTACAGGGAGCCTGTATCGAAAGGTCGTGCCTTCAATAAAGTGAGCCAGCGATTACACGATAGTCGACGTTACAATGTCGAAGAACAGGGTTGAAGCATCAGGGCAGCACAATCAGCATACCGATAGCAGGAGATCCAAAGACATTAGCCCATCGCGCGATGGATACCGGACGACCCGTCAAAAGTTGAAACCTCATGCACACCCAAACACCGGATATCATCCGTCTCATGTGCAGTCCGTCAACGCTCCGTATGCGAAAGACTGTGTACGTTGTTTCTTCGTACAGCAATCAACAACGCTAAATCTGTGCAGAATACTCCAGATGTATATGAGAATCAGTATCGCATATTAACGCCTCCATCTGAACTCAGAGTACTGCTCGTTCACGAGATAGGGCCGACTGATAGCTTTTGGCTTCCTCCTCCTCCTCCTCCTCCTCCACCACCACCACTACCACTACCACTACCACCTAGTACGAGCTATGATTGGTCTTACTATATTCCCGCGCTGATATCACCACCACCGCCACCGCCTCCGCCGCCTCCGCCGCCGCTTCCGCTTCCTCTCTCTTCGTGGCCATATTCAGAATGTGCTTGGATTCGTGAAATTGAATTCGACTATGATCAATGGTGCCTCGAACGTCATAGATTGCCAGTTGTGCAGGATTATGAATCGGAATACACGCAGTTACTAGCTACAGAGGAGCTCAAATTCGGGCTGCTGTCAAGCAAAGATGAACCGTCCTTCGGTTGGTATATCGAGTGGCATCTGACTCATACCCACCTCCGTGCTAAGCTATACTATGGTCCCGTCGACTCTGAGCATAGCACCAACATGCGCTATCGAAGACGAATCAGTCACCATATGTACGATTTCCCTACGGAAAGCACTTATCGAAGGAGACGTATCACAAGCACCAGTTGTCCGAACAGAGATGGAAGTTCGAGATCGTCGATGTCATTGAGTCTTGACGATACACCCAATGCTTACATGGGACTCTATCTTACACAAGGGCAATCAAAAGATGTTCAAGGGCAAAGCAGCTTGAACTCATGGAAGCATTTAGCAGGAAGAAACAAATCGTGGCGAAGATGCCCTAAAAGACTTGTAGTCAATCGCACGCAATACCGGCTAATGTCAGCTCAATTGCGCAAACTCGATGAGAGATTCTTCAAATCACCACTCTGGGTTCCACAGACCTTTGCGCAATATCATTGCGTGAAGGAACATGGTCGAGGCAATAAGCTTACGCGTTTGCAATTGCAAGATCGGATTCAAAGGAAGGACAACCGGACGGAAGAGCAATATTTGGGATTTGATACGGAGCTATCGACTTCCGCGAAGAGCTCCGGAGCAGATGGCTTTACACGTCGAACTACACGTAGCCATCAAGACCACCCGCTGCAACTGGCAGAGCTCGGTACGGCTTTTATGAGACTGGTATGGGGGAAGGAGACGAGAGCGACCCCCATCGGACAGCTAGATCGCTTTCTTCTCGCTGGCCTGCTTCTCGCTGGGCGTTGGTGTATACTACATTTTGTCCGCAACGACAGTCACGCCGACGTATACGCTGTGGAAGACACGCATTTTCTATGCTCGAGACGTCACAGCACTATTCAGATAGAGGCTCATTACTTCATCAACGAGTGTCATGGGAACTGGAAGACGGCGGCAAAGAGGAAGCAAAGCCGACTGCTGAAGAGTGGACGGTGTCAGGCTAACTTTCGATATAATGATAGGTACATCATGATATTGAAAGTCCCCGAACGGACCAAGACGTTCGACATGCACAAGAGCAAGGACGACTTTCCAGTTTTAGATGGCCGCAAAGAGTCGAAGCTATCATATGTCCAGCCTGAACGTCGATCTTATGCTGAGGTTCTAAAACAGGCGATATCGCATGGTGGCATTGCGATGCGCAGTGAGACGCAGCAAGCATCGAGGTTTGTTCCCGGGACGAAGAAGCAGCGTTCGTCACTAGAGAAAACGAGGAGAGCTGAGAAGCAGAGACGAGCAAGACTTGCGAAAAGGCAGGCACAGCACACGGGCTGACTGGAAGATGTACCGAAATTTTGGGTACGCCGTGCCGCGAGGCGTCATCGGAGCTTTTTCGGCCAAGGAAATGTAGCATTCACTCTTGTCTTACGATCTTTTTAATACGGGTAGAGGACTATACCAGGCTTAGATACCGTTTTGATGATGCCCATGTATTCATCTTAATACTGGAACCACATGAGTCCAACTTCACGTTCAGAATACGTAGCAATGAGTGAATGGGCGACTGTTTATGTGTAAACAGCCAAAACAAGACAGTGCATTTGCGCATTTTGCCAGGTGGTCTCTCACACTGGACAATCATGCGGGAAAGAACGAGCACGCCACCGCTTTCCCCCATCAATGGATCCACCAAACAACTTGCCTGGCGTTGACCGCGGCAGCGAAGAAGTTTCAGTGGATAGAAGAACGAGCACGCCTCCGCTTTACCCATCAATGGATCCACCAAACAACTTGCCTAGCGTTGACCGCGGCAGCGAAGAAGTTGCAGTGGATAGAATTAACAAAGGAAAATCATCCGATGCCTGCAGACAGCAGCATTACTGAGAAACGAATAGGGATGAACCACTCGTTTGCAAATAAAAACGCGCCTATACCCTTACGCCAGCAACTCCACTTTACCAGTTTCGTCCGGTTGGAAGGCAGTTAACTACTCCGCCCTCCCCTACCAATAGCGTTGTTCAGACCGTGAGATAGACCACGGGGTCCGTGCAATGCCAGTTACATACCGCTTGTTTGAATGAACAGACAAGCGTCGATAGGTCCTTCCGAATTGGGTGGCGCAACAGGTATATTTGCGTACCTCTACTAAGTAGAGGATTTTGATCTCATGATCATGCTGACATGGTCGTATCCGTTCAAGTGGCCGAGGTATCCTGAATGGTGACGGTGCACTCTTGAAGGCGGCCGTCCACCGAAACATGAAAACGCTCCGAACTCGTGATCTTCCTTATTGCTCTAATAAAATGTTGGTTTCGATACTGGGTCTTTGGCTTTATGGCGATTGTTGTTCTCGCGGGTGTTAAGTATCTTGATGTGTCGCTGCAGCTCGTCTTTGCGCTTGTAGTCCCGGTCGCATGTACACACAAATGGACGGCCTTTATCTCCGCACGAGTGGTCTTGGTGGCGCTTCAAGTCTTTCTTGGTTGTGAAGGACTCTGGGCATGCTCTGCACGTAAAGCTTTTCGCGGATGTGACACGTCTATGTCGAGACACTGGGTGCTTGTCGATCCGCATTTTTCCGACTGGATTATCGTCCGAGGTATGGCCATTACTTTGCGAACTTGAAGATTGTCTAGAGGACCTTTCTTCTGTTGTCGAGGAAAGTTCGCTCGGTGTGGGCTGCAGGTAAACAGCTGTCTCGTCGGTCGGATGGGAAGCATTGAAGCTGTGAGATAACACCGGAGCTTGTATATCGGGGATAGCGTAATTAGAGAACAATGAAGATTGGGAGTTGAGAGCCAAGCCGTCGTCGGCAGTCTCTCTGATGATTGGCGAAAAGGAACATTGGGATTCGGAATTCGGCATAGTTAACAAACCATAATCGAAGTACTCATCGATGCTGTGATACCCTGGTTGAGCTGTGTCTAACGACAAACTCGTATCCCCGAACAAGGCGTTCGTGCTGAACCCAAACAAATCGCTTGGGTCCAGGGTATCGAAGGGCCTAACGGCAACACCTTCAGCGCATCGGATATCTTCGACTGTGTGGTTCGTCTGCCATGACAGATCCACTTGTGAACACCCGTTGTGGCTTTCGTCAATCGTCTGAAAGATCGCAGGCGAGGCGAGTCCGTGTATTGGGTCATTAGAATGAAGTTGTCTCGTATATGCCTCTTGAAGCGGACATTGACCGAATTGTTCTATGCAATGATCACTAGCTACGATCAGTCTTGCTATGTGAGGTATCGAAACGGATTGTCTACTTACTGGTAATAGCAATTGATGGCGTGGACGGCCTATGACTAGGCCGTTCCTCGCAGTTTAGTTGGTCGGTTGATAGAAGGCCGACGCTTATCGCATATGTAGCGCTTCAATCGGGCTCTGCGCAGCTGCTTCGCCCTCCGTAGGATGTCGAAACCGCTTTAGGCTTAGGCGATGTCGAGGTCGCCGGCGATCGTGAGCGGCGAAGCCGCCTCGCGAGATGGAAGCTGTGAGTAGGGAGAATATGTGTCTTTGCGCACCTTGGAGATTGGAAAAGGGGAAAAGAAGAGAAAGCGGCGGCGGCGCGCCCAAGATATGGCAGCTGAAGTGTTGCGCTGGCCGGGCTGAGAACAGAAACCCGCGGACGTCATTCAACGCTGATTGGTGGCCGCCATATGATGTCTGCCTGAAACCGGTCAAGGCCAACACTAACTTGATCGCGACTAGTCCGAGGTCCTCCATATGCCCAGGTGCACAGCCCGATCTGTTGCAGCCATCAAATGCCATGCCATCGAAAACCCTATTTGAGAAATTTCACGTACGTATAGAAGAGAAGTTAGAATGAGGCAGAAGACTTGTCCATATGGGTCAGTTTGCAGAAGCTATGTCGCGATCTTGCCGACACGAAGTACTGCTTTTCTGCAGATGGAATATGCAGCCATCAACGCCACCAAGGCCTCGAGGCATGCAAAGGCGCCGCCCGGCAGCCTCAGTATGAGTATCATCCCTTCCGCATTTCCCCTCCGCATTTCCCCATCCAGTCCGAGTAGCGGAAAGCCAGTCCGGCCTCCTCTGCCATAGCAGACTGCCTTCTCCGACTCACTTGTACTGCTTGCACAAGTCCAGACTCTCCTGGGTGACCCCGTTCAGAATCCTCCGCGCCTCTTCGACCAGCTCGTGGAGCTGCTTTCGGAACGCCTTGCCCTGCTCTGTATCGTTGTCCTTCCGGTTCTTCATACGCTCGAAATCCGTTTGAACGTTTCGCAGCATCTCGTTCAAATTCTTCTTAAGCTCGTCACCGGCACGCTTGATGGATTTCTCGGCATCGACCTTTGCGTAGCTGGCGATCTGAGCAAAGGGACCCATAGGACCGGGAATGGCTTCTCGGAGGTACTGATGGCGGGCCAATTTCATGGTCTTGCCTACATTGTGGAGTTAGTCGATGAGCGCGTAAGTATCAGGATGGATATACCTTTACCCGCAGCCTGCTTGGCGGTGGCTACAGTATATATGTCCGACATTGCCCGTGGAAAGTAATCGACTTCACTGCGAAGTTTGATGGCGCGGAGGTGTACTTTGCTGAAGGTAGATTAGCAACCGCGCATCTCATTCCTCAGCAGAAATACACTTACATCATCCCATTCTTGAGAATTTTTGCTGCCGCCGACGCATGTCGATCGATCTGCTCAAAGAAAAGGCTGACATTCTCTTTGAAGCAAGCACCGTAAGCATCACAGGCTAAAGCCTTCGGATCGTCTACCCAGGTAATTAGTCGAGGCTGAGTGATGTAGAGCAGGAAGCTTACTCTTCAATTTGGTGTCCAGAGCAGTTATAATCTCTTTGATGTCTTGGGTTGCCTCGGCTTTGAACAGCTCGCATGAATCATCGATGATAACTCGGAATGCAACGTCGATATATGGTCGGACAGGCCACATGAAGTCCTCATTCCAGTCCATCGCAATGCATTTCTTCTTTTGCACGTAGATACCTGCCGTGAATCAGTAACTTATATGCTACTTGATATGAGGTAGGGCAGCTTACCTTTCTTTCGACATGCAGCCCTATGGCTGGCAGCGTTCTGACAATGTGTTAGCAGAAAGACGGACATGGGTGTAGCAGAGGCGCAGCTTACCATGTCTTCCCACTCGACGAGCTTCTTCAATGCCTCCTTGTCAAATCTCGTTTGCAAAGCAGGATCAGCTAGCTGATCGTGGAGTAGCTTGATGTCTGTGTTGTGAAATTTGAGAGCTAGTCGTTTAATGCTTGCGTCGATGTCCTGTTACCGTTAGTTGTCTCTCGTCCCCGAAGAACCAGCGAATAATTCACGTACCTTCCGAGCTCGTTGTATAATTCCAGTAAGATGGTTCACCCTTGCTAACGTGGTTGTGCTAACTGACATCTGCACGATGTTCAACAGCGTAGGAACAGTAACCCTGACGAAATGGTCTAGGTCTGAAGTCCTTCCACGGGAAGACAGAGTATAGACGTGGGAGCAGAGAGCTGGGATCTGTGTCTGATCGAGCGTCATGGTCGGAATAGATAACGGGTCCGTCTTGTCGTACCCGCGGAGATGACGCATGTACATGAGGTTCGAAACGCAGTAGATGGCCGCGATCGCATCATCGCCGGTGTCTTCGCGATAGTTTTCGCTCATAGCTACTGTCACCTCCTTGTTGCGCGCCACGATGAGGATGTCTTTTCGTCTGCACAAATTAGTCTCTTTGATCCTGTTACATATTGGATACAGCTTACTGTTTAGCTAGATCGTTCTTGCGCGAGGTGAGCTTCTTCTTGCGTTTCTTCAACGGCTTGTTTGCCGTGGTATTACGGTCGATCATGTTATGTCGAATGGTGTTATCAATGTTTTGGATGTCTTTCTCGATCTCGGTAACTTTGTTTGTGATGGAAGCTAGTTGGTCTTCAGCGGCGACGTCCATCTTCAGCGTAGAGTTGATTTCAGTGTTCATGATCTAACTATTGTTAGTACATATCCTGATTTTGGGTTGCAAGTGCCTTACATCAGACTTCGTGCCGACGAGGATGACACTACCGCTTCGCCTTCGTCGGAAGGCATCAACGTACTTCTGGCGGAAGGAGAGGTCGTTCGTAATGCGATCGATCTTTGCGACAACTATGGTCATATGGCAGCTCTGCAAATAGCGATCTGCAGTATCTCTACGGAAGTAGTTGACATCAGAACCTCCGGGAATATCGGAAATGATAACGTTCTGTTGAAGGATCGGTGACTTCAAAAAGACCCTATAGCACGTCAGTTATATGAATTAGAACGCAGTATGCCATCTCTTACCGGTTGATCCTGACAAAAGGCCAAGGTGAGCATGTCAACGGCTTCCCTTGGAAGCTTGCGTTTGTAACTTCTTTGGTGAACGGTTGATACATCTCAATGAGATTTTCCGGGGTACTAGATTCGAAGCAAACTGACGTTTGACCTGGTTTGACGAAATCTTGGTGCATCTTCGTTGTCCAAGTAGTTAGCTGCTTAATGACTTTCTGGTCCTTGGCTGATGTGGCCGTCGATAGGAACTTCTCCATAGTCCCATACTCTAAGCGATCTGCGAAGAGAAGTTGGAGGCAGTCGCGTGCTGTCTTGATCTGATCTAGGTCTTTGTCGTCCAGGTCGTCCGCATCCTGCCGCTGCTTTTGCTTCGCGTTGTACCACTGTGTGAAAAGGTCGGTGACCATCTTTATACAGATAGTGACATCGAAGAACTCAACTTCGGCAGCGTAAGCCTTCGTCTGGCTCGGAGGTGCTTGCTGGAATTCTGTAATGACGCACGTGCAAGCGCTTCCTCCGTCACTCTACCAGAATAGATTAGCATTATATAACTCGCATTCTTGCAGACGAACTTACCTCGACGTTGAGATTGACCACGCCCAATAGAGCGTTCAGCAAAGCCGATTTCCCTGCGCCAGTGTCCCCAGCAACAGATATGCGGACTGTTTCCTGATACGGAATCTTGTTGTTTCGCAAAATCTGTTCGCGCAGGTGTTTCGCTTCTGCATCATCATACCCACTGCGGATCGACTTGGTGATATACTGGCCGATAGTCGACAGTATGTTGGTAGCAGTAGACTCTGTAAGGTTGAAGCCTGGATGGTAAAGCGGCAATTTGGGTCGATTTTGTTGATCTGGGTCGTAAGCCGGTACTCGATCGTCGCCATCGTCGGAGTCGTCGTCATCGAGATCACTATCTAGTTCATCTTCCATTGCGGCAGCTGGCAAAGTTAGCTCATTCACGCAAAGCCCCGTTTGACACATACCTTTTCGCTTGGTCCCCGCTGCAGCTGCAGCCGTAGTAACATCCGGATCTTGACTTAGGTATTTGGGATCCCAGCTGGATATCTCTTGTTTGGCATCGGCCTCAAGAACCTTCAACTTCTGGATGTACGGCGAAGCATGTTGTTCTTCTCCAGTAGATTCGTTGGTTAGCGATGATAGATCGATTATCTCCGTAGCGTCGGTCGTTGCCAGAGCGGGTAGATCTGGTATCAAGAGCTCTGTTGGCACCTCAGGCTCGAATATAGGCGACTCTGTGCCATCAGGCGTAGGGGTCTTGGTGTCGTCGATATCCATTTGGGAAGTAGCGCACCCGTGCTGGCAGGTTCCACGTTCACGACCGCAGGTTTGAGTGACGAGACAGCTCGAGGGTAGATGGGGGAAGAAGTGAGGAGGATGAGGAGCAAGAGTGTCAAAAGAAAGGCTTATGTATCAGCGGTCAAGCGCAACTGAAGGTGGGACCGCAAGCTAAAAGTTGAGTCCCTTTTGTACACAACAAGGTAAAGGTGAGAGACTGTCAAGACACAATATCTCGAGCACTTATACCGTGCTAGCGAATCTCTAGTGACCTCGTCTGCGAGACGGTAAGAGCGCGATAAACTCCTCCGAACTCAAAGTCATCATGGATGGTATGCTCAAGGCGTGCCAACTCCAACAGATGGTACCAGATCATAGCTTCAAGGGAACGTCTTACTACACAGCACGCGTGCAGAGGTTCGGCGCTGCCGCCTTGATGGACGAAATCGCGGTGGTGCTATATCTGGCTGGCCATGTTCTATGCTGTGAAGCCATGGCATCCCTGGAGGTCTGCCTTTACTTGTCTCTATGGGCCGTCATGGTGACTGAAGGATCCGGAGTACTCGCCGTCACCACGGATACGGCAGACAGGCCTGGTACCAGCATCTCGTGTATATCCAGGAATGCGGCCCCGGTGAGTGCGATGCTCGATCGGAAAGATGCCTGGTCGATCTTGAAGTCGTGCGCTCAATCAGTTGGAAGTGGCTGGAGATGTGGCTCATAGGAGACGTGATGCAGGCGTCCTACTGGAGCCAGGTGCATCGCACGCTAGTTGCTGACCTCTATACGCCCCAGCCGAGAGAAGGCGCTCTGGACCCTGTCGAAAACTTAAACCTCACACCTCAGCCGTGTAGCTCTCCCAAGCTTTCTCCCACCATCTCCAGCTCTTTGCGCGACCGTGATTGCATCGTGATGCGTCGCCATGGCATTCCCGCGAAATGCGATACGCGTCAGCGCCAAGCGGATGGTGCCGATTGCCGCCCCCTTAGCCTCTTCGGTCCTCCCGTCGGGCTAGACAGGGAAACTCGCAGCCATGGATGCTTGGAAGGCTTGCGACAGCGCCGAAGGACACTTTCTTTGTCTCCGTGACCAGTCTTTCCTTTCCTGAGTTTCATGTACGAGACGCAGATGCATACTCCGACGGCATTGCATTAATCTTTCAGCGCTTTGCACGCGACTTTACATTCTTTTACAACCTTCAATACATGCCCACCATGGCAATCCGCCCGCTCAATTCGAGCCTCATCTTCGACCGGCGCGTTATCCTCGCTCTCACGGCTGCCGTTGTCCTCGCCTTCACATTCGCCTTCCTCTACTCGCCCGACCTACGTCCCAGCTCGGAATGGCTACCACCTCTCAGCTCGAAACCTACGTCCACATTCTCCGCGCCGCTCAAGAACACCGAAGACCCCTACATCGTCGAGCTGGACTACCTAGCCATCAAGCCAAACGTCTCGGACAAGGTCAGGTTCTACTGGAACATACCATATGCCGCAGATGCAGGAGGCCAGAACAGGTTTCGCGGACCACAACCGGTGAACAGGACATATGGCGTTGGTCGAGGCGAGAAGCCTCTGGTGTGGGATGGGTCATTGGGCATGTGCCCAAGAATCCAGAAGATTGATCCAACCCAGCGCAACAGGGAAGATATCTCAGGACCGGACGTTCTGGGTATCAAGACCCGTTCCACTGAGGACTGTCTGAGCTTGAACGTCTTCACGCCGATTGACGCTGAGGCAGGCGACGACCTACCAGTTTTGGTCAATATCCCTGGTGGTGGATTCCATCTCCCAGGACGCAGCAATGGAGGCGAGATGGTAGAGAAGGCGCGACGTGAAAAGGGCGTGGACGGTAAACTCGACAAGGGCATCGTTGTAGTCACCATGTACTACCGCAACGGCATCTACGGCTTCCTCTCTGGCAAAGAGATTGCAAAGGACGGCGACTACAACAACGCGCTGCGCGACCAGAGAGCGGCGCTGGAATGGGTCCAGAAGTATATCAGGTACTTCGGAGGCAACCCAGACCACGTAGTCATCATGGGCACAAGCGCTGGCGGCGCGTCCGTGATGCTACAATTGACGGCCAACGAAGGCGACAACTATCACCCTGTCCCTGGTGTAGGCCGCAAGCAGCTCTTCCACGGCGCCATCGCCCAGTCCCCCGCGAGTCCGACATTCTTCACCCCCGACCAAGCCGAGAAGTTCTACAACGAGGTGGCGGATGGACTGAACTGCACAGACATTGCATGCGTGCGCAACTCAGCAACCGGCGACCTCTACTACGAGAACTACCCCATGAACTTCCCCGGCCGCGACACACCCCCACGCTGGATGTGGGCGCCAACCACCGAGCCCGCCGGCGGCATGTTCACAGCGCCCGCCCCAGCAGCCATAATGGCAGACCGCTACGCCAAGGTCCCCACCATCATCGGCTTCACCTCGAACGAAGGCTCCGACCAAGTCAAGAAGACCACCGACAACGAAGGCGAATTCAAATCCTACCTCAAAGACCACTACCCCCTCCTCACCGACGAAGACCTCTCCACCCTCGTAACAACCTACCCCAACGACCGCCACTGGCCCGACAGCGGCGCATGGTGGGACGCCGTCGCAAAAGCCCAGGGCGACATCCGCTACATCTGCCCTACCTACCTCGCCTCCAACGCCATGTCCCTGCACAACCCGCCCTCCGTCCCGACCTACCAATACCAATGGGACGTAATGTGGGGTCCGGATATAGAGAACGGCTACGGCACCAAGCACGCCGGCACCGTTGGCCAGGTCATGGTGCGCCGTCAAAACGAGATTTCGGATTACTTCATCAGCTTCGTCAAGTTTCTTGATCCGAACCGCGAGCATGATGTTATTCCGAGGGAGAATGTAAAGATTGCTAAGTGGGAGCCGTTGGATAGTACGGGCAGGCGCATGTTCTTTACGAATATTAAGGAGGGCGGGCAGAGGGGGGATGGCCAGAATATGTATGGCAAGATGCGCACGGAGATGAGGGGCAGGGATGATGAGAGGGAGAGGAAGTGTGGGGTTATTAGGGGCATGTTTAGGAGGTTGCAGTTTGAGGGGGTGGAGGCGCTGAAGTTGGATTGAGGGGGTTGGGGTTGAGGTGTGGTTGTCTTGCATTTGAAGGGGTTTGGGAGTTGCATTCGCGATATAGATTCTTCTTTTTTTTTTCTCGTTTGATGTTGTATGAATACCATATGTTTTACGTGTTCAACATTGACTTCAGACATGCGAGCTGTTTTAAAAAGAATCCTCAATTGGTATAAAACGACGTGCTAAACCCCAGACTAACAGAAATAGATCCTCCCAGATACCCGTGGTTGACCCACACACCCACATGGACATCCGTAGCTTCCGCTCTTCCGCGCATCCTTCGTAACATAAATACTGGTTCCTAGATCCCTTCGCGCTGATTGTAGACCACGACCACTGTCTCTTAAATCTTCCTAACATGCTCAATCAACTCCGCCACGTCGTTATGACTTAGACTTTCATCGTCAAGACTCATGCCCAGCTCCTGTTTCTTCTCATCGAGATTCTCCCTCTTTCCATCTAAATCACGCTGCGAATCGCGCTCCAGAGGCGTCGCCTTGGTCTTCTCGTCCCTCAGCACCCTCAAGTCGCCCGTCTCGACCGCAAACGGCGATGCAGGCGGAGGGCTAACCATATCAGCGCTCGTTTTCCTTGCGTGCTCTACGACTTCTTGCAGATCGGCGTGTGAGAGACTGCCGTCATCAACACTCATGCCGATTTGCGCTTGTTTCTCTTCCTCTTCGCGCTTCAGACGGTCGACTGGGTTTTCAGAAACGGGTCCCGGGGAATCTTGTTGTTTGGAGTCTTTTCTGCTGACCCAGCGGACGAGCTCGTCGACGTCATCGTCGGTGATGTGGCGTTTTTCTTTGATGGGCTCGATGGACTCGCGGCTTCGGGGGCGGCCTCGCTGTTCTTCTTCGTCGTCGATTTCGTCAAAGGTTTCTTTGACTGGCGTGGAAGCTGCAGATTCGCCGCTCGTGCCGTCGTGGCGCTTGAACCAGCGGCCTAGTTCGGGCACGTCGGAGTCGTAGTGCTCGCCTACGTCGGAATCTAGTTCGGGTCGTTGGAGGTTGCGGCGTACGGGGCCTGCTTTGGGTCCGTCGCGATGCGATATCCAGCGTACGAGGTCGTCTGCGTCTTCTTCTTCGTCTGAGGACACTTCTCGGATTTCGCTGTCGGATTCAGTCGATGCGTCGCTGTATCCTGAATGTGCGTCGTTGAATACGGCGGTCTCTTTGGCGTCAGATTTTCTGCTAGCAAAGCGAACAAGATCTTCGACATCTGACGGCCCCAGGCTCTCATGACCACTGTCTTCTTTCGCTTCCACTACGTCGCCGCCCTTCCGTCGTTCACCGTCGCTAGGGGGATCTCGTCGGCTAACCCATCGTACCAATTCGTCCACATCGGAATGATCGATACTCTCGTTGTCACTTTCATAGCGAGTCGAGGATGCTTCTCGTTGGTCCTTCTCGTTGTCGGAAGAAGCTGTGGATGCGCGATCATTGAACTCGACTGGCGCACCATCCTCCCTGATCTTCTCCATATTCCCTGCTTCCTTGGTCGTCATCCGTCTTACTGTCATCCGGATCCTACTTCCAATTCCACCTTTTCCTGATGCATCCTGCTCAGGTGTTCCCGGATGATGCATCTGGCGTTCGGCGTGTTGAGACCGCCATTTGTCTGCCGCATTTTGCTCCTTCTGGCAATCTTCTTGCGCGGCAGTCTTCATCTGGTCTTGAATCCTCTGTTGAAAAATCATGCTGCGCAAGGAATGGAATCGCGCCATGTGCGGCTGCTTTTGTCTGGACTTTGCGGACTTATCTCCGCTGCCATGCGCCGAAGACGGCTTAGAATGGTCAGAGCTTTTGCTGGTCGTCTTCAGGGAACTTCTGCTTGGTGATAAAGACGAAGGGCGAGGCGCCTGGGCAGCGACGTGCTTTTGCTTGTCTTGGCGCAATTTATGAGGGTCGAGTGCTGGCTTAGTGTGTTGTTGAGCGGCACGTTGATCTTCTTCTTCGGATGGATCTTTTTCTTCGCTGCTATCACTGTCCGATTCTTCGTCGCCTAAACCTTCCAATATTTGTGTGACTGCTGGGGACATTAAACTGTTCATACGACCCAGTTGCTTGCGCTGGTCCTGAGGCATCTGATCTATATTCGTAGCTGGCGGCGCCTTCTGCGGCTGGAGGTCGAAGTATGACGCCATGACTTCTTGAGTGGCCCTTTCTCCCCAGTAAAGATGATGCGTGTTTGAGGTCCGAGGATGCCAATGGGCCAGATATGGAGCGGGATAGAAAAGAGCTCAGGTGAGGGCAGTGCTCTTGGAAGGCTTGGAGTTCTGCAAAGTGTCGGGCTCGCAGACAAGCTAGCCTGTTATCGCAAGTCTCTACCCCGCATTTTATGATGTCACGCCTCGTGAGTGGCCGGGCGCGCTGATTCAGCTGACTAGTGCAGTGACGATCGGCGTGGCAGGCTTGGGCGACATCACCGCTTTGAGTTTAAGATCTAGGGCTCCATGCATGGCGCATCAGTTGCGACAGCCGTTGAGATCGGAGGCTTTCACTGGCGAATCTGGATCGCCATAGGTGGGGTCTGACCACCGATGAGGCTGACATACTTGACGTGAGACGGCACGGCAGGTCAGCTTCATGCATCTTCCCGCCTCAATGACCGGTGCTGTCGCGCACGGCTCGATCCGCACGATCCATGGGTATGCGCTAATGAACAAGGTCAATCTTATCAACTTTTCAACATTGCTTCCCAGGGTCTCCCCTTTGTCAAAACTATAGTACCGGATCCTCATGCCAGACATTTCCAGCCGATGATGCACTTTGACGATTCTACGCGACCCGCTTTGTACGTCTGCCGTACTGCTGGGATGCTTCGGCCATGTTGAAAGCTAGAAGATTCGGTGTGCTATCATGGAGAGTACTTTCATCGATCGCGCCCTTTGTCGCGACGCCAGCCATGCTTTCGCACAACCCTTCGACTGGCCATCCTTGACCCATGAAGTACGCGGCTAAACCAACGATATGAGGGGTTGCCATGCTCTGAACGTGAGGGCGGATAGTCAGCGCGCGTCACACCGACACTTAGCTGGGAGTGTACTTACGGTTCCAGAAATCGTATCGATCGATTTGCCGATCCAAGTGCTGGTGATGTCAACGCCGGGTGCCAGAATGTCGACTATAGGGCCATAGTTGGACCATTCGATGAGCGTATCGTTAAAGGCTGTAGCACCCACGGTGCAGACACTAGGTTCAGATGCCGGAGACGAGTATTTAGCGTCGCGTCCCTCATTGCCCGCTGCGACACCAAGGAAGATTCCCGCTGCAACGATGGCAGCGGCCTAGATCGTTGTGAGCTGAATATCTGATAAAAGACGGAATGGGTTACTCACAGCATCATTCAGGGCCTGCATCTTACGCCCTCCAAGACTCATGTTGGCCACGAAACCGTTGGGACATTCTCCAGCCTCACTACGTTTTGCTGCATCGGTAATAACATACTCCATACCCGCAAGTACGCCCTCGGTTGTACCAGAACCGTACGAGTCCAGTACACGGATAGCGAGCAGCGTTGTCTTCTTTGCCACGCCCCAAGTCATCGAGCCGATTGTACCAGCCACGTGAGTTCCGTGGCCCATGGCGTCGATCATGGTGTCCTCGCCGCTGAAGTCAGCTAAAAATAAAGCACCTTTCAATTCGTTAGCGCGTATCCCGAGCTGAACGGTTCATACATACGTCCTCCAAATTCTGGATGTTCAACCTCGATGCCTGTGTCAATGACGTATCTGCGGTCGCTTTGTGAGCGAAATTCACACAGACGCAAATACGGTTGGTAACATACGCGCATGTACCCTCCCCAGCGCTGGAATCGAAAAGATAACTCGTTTGATACGGCTCGGCATGAGAGATACGAGCTAAACCCCACGTGGAGTTCAGCTGTTGCACGATCTCGCTGCTGTGGACCTTGGCGCTCTGTTCGATGTACTCAACCTAATTACTTTAGTTCAGGTACATTGATTCAGTCGTATAGCTTACATGCTCAGAAGCCTGGAGTCGAACAAGTTCTTCCTCGGAGATACTGCCGGCAAATCCTCGGAATCCAGGCATTGCGTATTCGTAGTCGGGTTTGGTGGATATGGATGCCATCAGGTCGTTGTGAGCTTGCGTTGCTACGTCGCCCTTCATCTTGACAATCCATCTCCCGGCGACGCCATCTACGCCATCGACTCTGGTCAACGGGGCAGCAACGACCAACGAGATCAGAGCGAAGAGGACTGGAGTATACATGTTTCCTGAACCGTTCGAATCGAATATGCTGGAAGGGATGAATAAGAGGTTGGGTTTCAAAGAAAAGGTGAGGGGTCAGATCCTTCACGTTGAATTGTACCTGCATCAGCGGCAGAACCGATACTTAAATACAAATGCCGTACAACCCGTACCAGCATCGACGACGGCCGGCTCATTCGAGAACCAATGGCGCAATCTGAAGGACCAGTTAGCAACAGCGCTCGCGCGTACGCACAGGCAGTGCGACCTCTCACGGACCACGTTAGGGCATGCTCTCTGGCGAGCGCATGCTACTTTGCAACACCAACAAGAGCACAAAAGATACTGTTATCTGACAGCGCGCATGCTGCTGGACCATGGGTCGACGATATGGGTGCACGCCTCAAGGTCCTCCGATGTTACTCGTCTGTCGTCATTTCGACGGGCCGGATGCACAGTCGTGTAGAGCTTTTGGTCGCATAAGTAACACAGTGAGTCTATCAGAGCTTTGGTGTTTCCCGCGGATGGTACGCAGTCACCTGAAGAGATACATGGCGTCCAGATAACCAAAGGGAAGGATCCAGTCCAGATCCAGCACTAACGGACCGTGACCACGGGAAGCAAGATGTCTGGGATCCAATCAATCTGGAAAAAGCACCGATTGAAGGTCGTGTTACCTCTAGCAAAGCGCTGTGCTATGTGTTCTGTTATGATGCGGGTTCCTACATGATGTTGTCGTTGTACCCGGTGGGCGCTAACTTTCAGCGTCTTGTCGTGGGACATCGACGACTGGTATAGAATAAGCACTCTTATCAAGAGCACCATAGATATCCTTTGGATTGCCGATGCACTGGGAAATGTCGATGGGTCTGCCAACGAGTCGTGGGGTGTAAGGACACATTGGGTGCATGCGCATACAGCGATTGTCAAAGAGAGTATTGGTACGACTGACAGAGCGTGTCCGCGCCAACAGCACATCGGTTTTGTTGACAGTCATCCCTTGGCGGGATCGCGGGTTTGCGCATGATGTCTGGCGAGATCCTGCAGTCTCTAGTCAAAAGTACTGGCAGGTGCGCAACTGTGTTGGTTGAACCATACTGTCGGGAACATGGTCGCGCAAGGTATGTCGCCTTCCAGTAAACGGTTCATCAAGATAGTTGAAGGTCGTGCTTCCTGTTGTGGCGATTCATTTCATCAATGAATATCTTTCGAGTTGATTGAGAGCTTCAATTCCCTACCAGCTACAGCTATCAACACATCAAGTCTGGTGGCTTTGGATACGCCAGCGCAAGTTCGACTACTGTGAAAGCCATACAGCTCATCGTATGTTCGTCACCTTCGGGTACCTCACAAGGTAGCGAGCCAATTCTCCAACGCCTCATTAACCTCTTTCGGCTTCTCCAACTGCACCCAATGCGACGACTCAATAGTCTCATAGGTCAAATTCTTCACATCCCGCTTCATTCTCTCCGCCAACTTCGGCTGCACACTAGGCGAGCACACAGCATCGTACTTCGCATCAATGTACAGGAACGGAAACTCCAGCACGCCATCGTTCTTCTCGCTCTTCGCATACTCGACGTTTGCTTCGTGATTGAAGTAGTATGCGTTCGCACCGAAGAACCCATGCTTCTTCTTGCTCTTCAGCAGGCTTTCATAAAGATGCTCATCCAACGATGTGTACGAAAGTGGGATGTCAGGAAGGCTTTCCGGATGACCACCAAACCAACCTCCGTCTCTCAAGACACGGCTTGTGGGTGAGGGCTGGCCCCACTTGCTGTCATCGCCTTTCACATACAAGATCTTGGTAATGACATCCAGGTGGCCGTCGAACGCTTTGACGCTTTGCTCGGGCTTCACCTCGTAGTACCGCATGTATTCCCAGTTTCCCCACTCGGTCTCGCTTTCGGGGTAGAGGTCGCGGTTGATTGTGCTCTTGAGGTATTCGAGACCCAGCTCCACGCTTCGGTAGGGAACGCAGAGGTTTGCCATGGCAATGAAGAGTTCAGGGTAGTGTGCGGCAAGTGCGTTGGTGACGCCGCAGCCCCAGTCGTGACCGATCCATACTGCTTTCTTAATGCCTAGCTTTGAGGCGAACTCAACGAGCTCGGGAACGAGGACTTCAAGGCGGTAAGACTCCTTTTTCTGGGGTGCTGTTGAGTCGCCGTAGCCGCGCATGTCAGGTGCGATGACACGGTATTTCGATGAGGCAGCGAAATGTGTGAGTTGGTGTTTCCATGATTCTGCAATGTCGGGCCAGCCGTGGATGAAGATTAGGGGAGTGCCATCTGCCAAGCCTCCTTCGTAGTAGTGCGTGACCTCACCATTTTGGTGGGTGATGTCGCCTGCGGTGAATGAGTCCATGGCGTGTACTGGTGCAATAATCCTAAGATGTTTGGTAGAAGATGACGTGGGCTGGAGATTTTGTATACTGGTAGAGAAATGGGCCGATGAAGGTTCGTACGATACTGACTCTTGGGGACCTCGGTAGACCCACCACGAAGTGGGTATGACGACAAATACGGATTCAGACTAGACCATAAGCTGCGGCGTGGTCAGAAATGTTGAACGCACATGTGATAGTGTTGTGTAACACCAGAAACGCGAAGTAAGCTGACTGTGGAAGCACCCTTGCATTGGACTGCATAGGATCTTTCGCGGTGCTCAACTCGGTTGACACACAGCGTCAATTCAGAGTGCCAGCAGTTGGTCGGTGATTCGAAGGACTTGAGGCCCAGCTTGAGGATAGGATAAGGGTATTAATTGACTAGCACCGCGCGAGAACTATATGTCGATTTCCACGTCCGCCAAAGAGCTTCGGACTTCGCTCCATCATCCAAATGCATCCCGGGGAGATTGATCGAATGTGATTGGTCTACATAGTATTCTCCTGTGCCCATGGCACGAGCTCAATAAGATGTATCTCACCATGTCCAGCACTTAGGGGCTCATACTCCAGTCGGCCGAGACTTGGGACCGAATATTCCGATGAACCAGGTGTCCAACGGAGGACGGTCGAAGGTGTGAGACTAGTAGCGCTCATCGAATATCGATGATAGTGTCTCATACGCTTGTTCTATGGTACGGTGCTAGCATCGGTCGTCGTGCGAGAGCTACCGGCATGGTCCGCTGTTGACAGCGCGCGCGTGCATACTAGCAACACTTGCAGTCTTTGTTCGACTGAGTGCCCTAAGGTGCAGTGAGAACTGTATGTTCGTACATACTTTATTGGCCTGTTGGGCGATGTCGACCGTGCAGTCTGCTCTCGTGTGTGGGCGTTCGCAGGCGTTGTCGAAACTCTGAAGCGTGTCGGCGCAACGCGAGCTTCTTACGGCCGTAAGCCCACAACGCGAAGAAACGCGTCATACGTGGCCAAAAGCGTTAATGTTGTTCTGTAATCATCTCATCCTGCGTGTTAGCCGACAGCTCAAATGATTTCCGCGTCGTATCGCTGCTTCAGGTGGTTCGCGCAGATTGGAGAGGCAGAAGCGGCAGTTGGATGATGAAGTTGGTGGCGCACCTCATCCCTCGAACCCTGGAAGCGTTCCAAACTTCGCCTTGGTCCGTGCGCCGAGGCGGCTGGCGGAAGGAAGATGGCAGCTGCAGCCTTAACCGCAATATCTCCTAATTGGAATTGCGGGGCGAGATTGAATCTTCCGATGTACCATGCTGATCAACGTTGTGCCAATATAGTCTTGACAATGTGGGGAAGGCTTCAGCCTCTGGTACCGCATGCAGCTAGCTGTGTATGATGCGTGGTACTTGACCGAGCTATTGTTAGTCGTCCGAGGTTGCAGATGTTAGACAAAGATGGGGGAAGTGTAAGTCTGGGAAGCTTTGTTAGGAGTAATGAGTGGTTGGTCGAAGATCGCGGTGACTCATTGATCGTCACACCGAGGGATTTCCGTATGCACAGATGATCGATCTTCGCAGGACCGAGGAAAGTACTTCTTTGTTTGCGTAGACGCATGAGTCGGTAGACCCTGCATGAGCCCAGTGACCTATGCAAGACGATGCAGGGCATGTGGACGCAGCACCGTTATGCTAACGCGCAAGGCGACGCCTCTCAAAGCCACCTACGACGCCGCGGTGTCAACAGTCTTCTGCCGAAACAATGAATGACCTATTGTGATACATGGGCTTCTGGTATAGTCATGTTGATGAGGCTTAGCGTAAGCCACCCCCACAAGATCATTAGTGACGGTATCACAAAGGCCGTTTTCGTGATGTCGATCTCCGCATCCAAATGCCGTAGTGACGAGATGGCATTATGTATTCCCATCGTTGGCCAGCGATCGAGGTTATGGGGCAACATATCAGCAATTGGTGCGAAGACACAGCACTGGGGGCGTTTTAGATGAGTAACTTCATAGATTGTATCTCCATTGGTGCTATCGACTACCAAGAGACAACTACCGCGATCATGACTTCATAAGAAAAGAAGGAAGGGAATCTTCGACTTCTGTCAATGCGAAACTAGAAAAGACTCGATGCAACATGCTGATAAAGCGCCGCCAAGAAGAAGAAATGCTTAACCGCTGGGGTTGCCGTTGAAGGCAAGGTTGTTGACGGTGCCGGAAGGAACACCGGAGATCTTGTTCTTCAGCGACAGGGTGGTGAGACGGCTGGAGAGTGCGGCAGGGGTTTTCTTGCCCTCAAAGCCGAGAATGTAGGCGGCGAGACCAGCAACGTGAGGAGTAGCCATGGAAGTACCGGAGATGGAGTTAGTGCCACCGTTGTTCCAGGTGGAGAGAATGGAGACACCAGGAGCAAGGATGTCAACGACGGAACCGTAGTTGGAGAAAGAAGCGAGGCGGTCAGAGCTGTCGGTGGCACCGACGGTGTAGACAGTGGGCTCGGATGCAGGCGAGGAGTTGCGA